GCGATGACTCGAGGACCACATCGTTCTCTCCTCACTTTCTTTCATCCCTCTTGAAGTCACGGCATACCGGATATACACATGCACGACGTGCTCGCTCCATGATTACGATTACATTAGAATGTACCAACGGTCAAGATCGTTTCCGAGAATACTCCGCGATGAAGAATAGAAAGCGATAGTGACGATGAGGGAGATGAACGGGGGAAGAGAGATAATACTTGGCGCGAAGGATATTTTCGAACACACGAGGTGCTCCGACAGGTCGCTCCTCGTCGTCGACGTTGCCGTCGCCGTCGTTGATGACTGTCGGCGCATTCACCGTGATTCGTACAGATTGAAACGCGGATCCTGCGTATCGGGAGACACGCCGGTGTTTAATAGATCAAGCGATCAACGAGGTGTCACTGTCGTCAACGACGTCGACGAAGACGACGACGCTGTGCGACGTCGAATCGAAGGGACGCGAGCGAGAGCGAGAGAGTGCGCGCGCGCGCGCGCGCGCTATCTCTCTCTCTCTCTCTCTCTCGGGATAAATATCTAGGCGCTCGCTCGCTCTCTTTCTCCGGCCAGGGTGTTAACGGTGGATACTCACCATCTTTCGACGGATTTAGGCGCGCTGGAGGATCCGCTGGCGGCTCGATGGTACCCTGGCCTCGCGCGACAGTCACCTGGACGCCCAGGGACTGCCAAGGACCGTAACACCGACCACTTCAGCAGCACTTCCAGCCTCCGGCGGAGAAGCTGCCTTCCCGTCTCGCAGTAAACCTCCAAACACTACGGGGCAGGCAGCTCTTACAAGATGGCAGCTGGTGGCGCAGCGCCGCGTACTCCGAAACCGCGGAACCTCGCAGAGACTTGCGCGCGCACCTTATCGAGAGTGGATAAAGCCAATCACGTCGTCGTGTTTCCCTCGGGTGCACCCTATATGCTCGATTAGGCCGCGTCGACGTCTCCGCGCATTCGGAATCTGCAAAACACTGGACATTTTCGATATTCGGATGCGTTGCTCGTCCAAAAAAAAAATTTCGACTAATAGCGCATTCGATTTACTGACTCGAGCTACAAAAGAAGAGCTAAATAAACCATGCTAAAAAGGACAGATCATTGACTCGGAGTCAGCGGTCGAATCAGTAAATCTATAATATGCTATAACTTGTTAGCTTGGGTTCCATCAACATAGAAATTAATTTAAATCTCAACTTGCTCTTCATCTTTTTCTAGTTCTCGAAAATAGAAAATAAAGGGTAAGTTGTAGCAGAGAGAAACTTGAAAAAGGACATGAGGGCATTTTTCCTGTAACCACATGCCATGCATTACTGCCTTCTAAAGAAGTGGATGTAAACTATGCAATAATATCCACTTTTTTACGGCGCTCTCGAGGAAAATAAATCGCTGAAATCGCCGAAATAACTGAAATCTATCAAATCAATAAAGATTTGAACAATTTCAGCGACTCATTTCCATCAGGGCGCTGTATAAAGGTGGATATCGTAGTTGACACCCACTTCTTCAGAGGGCAGTAACGCGCAAGGCATTTGCGGTTACAGAATTATAGATAAAAGCCTTTGTGTCCTCTCTCAGATTTCTCTCTGGTTGTAGCGAGATTAAAGTTAATCTAATTGGTGAGAATGGATATTAATCGGCGATTGATTAAACTTTGAGCTCTGCTCACATATAAATGTCTTATCTTTTATTTGCAATCTGTACACTATCCATTATACATTACGTTCAATCTCTATTCTTATTTTTCTTATTTTTAATATTCAATATATTTATTCTTGTTTCCATATATTTCTCCATATATTCTTGTTCTAAATATATTTTATATATATATGTGCACAAGACCTTCTATTTGTTTATTTTTACCAAATGTAAATTAGCATCAATCTCGGTGTAATTTATTTTTTACTTCTTTCTGTAATTAAAAAAAAAAAAATATGAGAAGTCATCTAAACCATGACTAAAACTATATTGGTAGAAATAGATATTTTTGAAAAAAATATATACATATATTCATTATTCTTGAAACTTAATCTTTGTTCTATATTAAACAATAAAAATTCAAATTTTCATCCATGTTCATAAATCATTAAATTAATAAATTATTTGATAAATTAATTGTCGATTAAGTTAATTAAAGTTCAGTTGCAATGGAGAGAAATCAAAGATAATTTCGATTAAATTAATTCTACATAACTTTTGACCTTTCTAAGTCTTTTCATCATACGTCATCAAACCACAAAACATTAATAATTCTACTTACACACTCGAATTAATACAAGCAATGTTTATTTAATTTACTGAAACGACACTAGAAAATTTAGAGAAGCACATCACACTTTCAAATAAAATAAAATAAATAAATAAGATGCACTTAATTATTGACTCATCCTCCTCTTATTTTTCTGAAAATTTTATTTATTCATTCATCTTTTTTACGAGCGTTTTAAGCTTTACGTGCGACTCCATTTAAGGTTTCCTATAATGACAAGGATAACGAAAAACGAAGTAGGAGCAAATTGAACGACTGATAAAAATACACACAGGTCGTGTATTACTTTTTTAAGTTTTAGATATTATATTCACATGTAAATTCAAACTCGTTGGCACATAAATTTTATCTCTTCATTTGAATAGTTGAAAATCTTTGTGAAATATTAAATTGAGCAAATTGATCGTATCGAACGTTCAATGGAATCGCTTCGGAGTAAACGCGGAGTCGCGTCTATGATTAACGGAGATCTATCCAGGACTTACCAATAATTCGCGATCTGACGATCCCACGGCGACACTCACTGGCGGCGTCGCGCGGCTGATGGAAATTCGAGTAAAACAGAACAGGAAAAACGATGAACGAGAAAAACCAGGGACAAAAACGGAACTGGAACTGAAACCGAACTACCGAACTAAACGCGAGCGCATCGCTCGCCGTTGATTGACAAGGGTTAGGAGGAGAGGGGGAGGAACACCGCGACTTCCGGTCGACGCGATCGCGTTGCGTCACGTCGCCGATGAGGTAAAGATGTGGTACTAGTAGAACAATTCGACGGAGAAATTATCTTTCACGGCGGACTGATTAAACACACTCTGATCATCGCTGGAACGCCGATTAAATGGCCATGCGACGAGCGACGCCATTTTGACTAGCGCTGTAGGAGCGAGCTGACTGGCGCGAAACTGCTCTTCAGGTGTTTCGGGCCCCGTCGGATGAACGGAAACAAAGGAAAGAATGGAGGAGAATAATAAACCGAATATAGTACGAAAAAATAAAAAAAACGAGTCCATCAGAAACAATGAATGTGGTGGTGTGGTTGTTAGAAATTTTGCAGCAATTTTATTATTTCCAATTTTAAAGGTGGGTTCAGATCTATAGGATGCGTTCTACTTAACGCTTGCAACGTTCGCAAGTATTGTTTAATACACTTGATAAATAATAAGAATGAAATGATTCCGCGACCATTGTGAGCGTTAGATGGAACATTTAATACAGAAAAGAAAGCTAGAGAAGCGGCAGCCAATCAGAACTCGCGCTGGTAGTCGCTAGTTTCGACTGGTTTCGACTTTCTGTACAAGGCTATGTCCAGATTCCCACCCCGAGTGCTACTCAGGTATGGGCCTGAACACAAAGATTATCTTGAATTGTAACGGTTTTTGACAGAGTCGTCAGTCAACGCACAATGATTGTTCGTAAAGATCCTAACGGCATACGACGTATGTTTATATCGATCCTTGCATTGACTTACGACGGAAACAATTACGACAAAATCTTGTGCGTTGACTTACGACTCTGTCGAAAACTGTTACAATTCAAGGCAATCTTTGTGCTCATGCAGGCCCTATCCCTCTATCCTTTATTCTTTACCGAACGTTAAGCAAGGATGATATGATACCTGGGGAGCACTCTGGTGGGAATCTAAACACGCCCTTGCTTCCTACCAGGGCAAGTTTTGATTGGCTGTTACATTTCCATCTAGGTTTCAATCTACTCCAAAGGTGCGTTTTTTGCTTCTCGCATGATGCGCATAATGCATCGTTTATCTTTATTGCTCACCAAATGTTAAACAAGGACAATTGATGCATCATCCATGTGCGAAACAGAACGCACCTTAATGCCCATTTCCACCAATGCAGATTAACTTTTAATCTCGGTTCAATTTGCTCATCTTTTTCTAATTCTAAAAATTAGAAAAAGATTAACAGTAAGTTAAACCGAGATTAAAGTTAATCTGCATTGGTGGAAATGGGCATAAATGTTTCATTGCATTCAATACTCTTTTTTTTCTTTTTTTTTTTAAATATTTAGACTGCTTTATACGGGACATCTTTCATTGAGGTTTAAGACAATTAATGTTATAATGGTAATTTCAAGATAAAAAGATCTTTTTATTTTCATATTGTCGTTAAAAAATGTAATTAACATACAGATTCTATTAAACTGCTCAGTTTAATGAAATAGTGTAGAGTATTTAACAAGACATTTATTGTACAGAAACAAAACGTGAAAATTTTTATTTATTAATTTTATTTTCACGTTATTTTCACGTTTTGTGTCAAGAATCTTTTTTTAAATTAAATTTTCAATAGCCTATGCTTTTTAAAATTTTAAAGACAGTATTCCTTTAATCTTTACTAATTCAAGTCTTTAAGTATAAAATGTAAAAAATATTCGATATATTTTTTTGTGTTTAAAAGACTGTAGTATTTTTTACGTTTAAATATCTCCATCATTTTAATACATTGAATAGTATTTCAAATATATCAAAATTACATCAACAAAATAAAAAATTGAAATATTCTCATTAATGTTTATATGAAATTCGATTAATTATTATTATTAGCGTAGTATATATAAAATAAGAAATTAATTACCTACATATTTTACATAATAGTCTAGTAAATTTATTATGTCATTATTGTAAGATGTGACTTGAGAAAGGGAAAGAGAGATCGCACAAAATATTTACAAACAAAATATACAGATATTATACTATTTTTAGATTTTAGATATCATTCACATTTAAATCAAAACACGTTGCAGTCGTTGGCACGTAGACATACGGTCTTGTTTCTTCATTTGTATAGTCCGGGATTCCCTGTGTAATATCAAAATTTTGAAAATTCGGAATTGAAAAAGCTATGAAAATATTTTATAATATCATACAATTATATATTTTTTATAAATCGCATTGCCAATCGCACAATTTAACGTTTAAAAATAAAGAAATAGTACAGGCCAACAGAAGTATTTTAAAGGCTACACTAATCCATAAAATCGACATGAAGATTAATAATAATTACTATTACCTATGCTGACCAGATATTCATAAAAAAAATTTATAATTTAACCACATTTATAATTTAATCACATGTGTCTTACAAATTACATGCAAAAAATCATCTAACGTAAAAAAAATGTACGTAAATTGCTACACGACTTACACATTTTTTATGCATAGCCAAGCAAAAGGTGCAAACATGTGGTCTTGTCGAACGAACATTTTCTAAAAGACGTGTACAAGGTTGATCCATGGCACCCGCAATGAGTATGGCGTCCAAATGATTAATGTAACTGCTGGCCAATCTTAAGGTCTCTATTTTCGACAGCTTGCGGTCAGCCGGTTCGGTTGGGATCAGAGTTCTCAGAGCGCTGAAAGCTGTGTTCACACTGCACAACGAAGATCGCGTACCTTCAGAGAAGATTCTCTCTCGTCCAGGGTATTCTAAATTGCTCTATTAATCTCAAATCTATCTCGTTCATTATAAACACGTTAAATAATTGGAAGAAGCGTCCAAAGATAAACGGTTTTTCGAGAGAAATCCCGCAAATGAACAAAAACCGCGCGTATGTTCCGAATCCTTCATCTTCTTCGCGCAGCAAGAAACAAATGCTTTGATAATTCACTCGTTTTTATATCATTCTCATTATATGCGCAAAATGCTTTTTCACCTAAGAGTGCGATCTCTCTCTCGAGCGTTCGCTTGGTATCGCTGCTTCGTCGACTCTTCCCTCCTGCGTGCTGCCATGCCACGACTACAGGAACGCTTTCGCTGACCGTTCGCAACGACGCTATCTTCATCAATGAAGCGACCGGTACAGCCTCTTTCCGTTCCTCCGGAATATGAAAATTTCCTCATCTCTCTGGTGTCACGGATGCTTAACATTCCCCCCCTCCCGTTTCTTTCTCCTTACTCGGTCTTTCTCTCAGATATCCGACACGCACGTGAGCAGCACATGTGTGCGATCAGGGACGCATAAATATTCTCTCTCGCACTCACCGTCCTTTTCTCTTTTTTTTTCCTTTCCCGGTTTCTATCATGTGCTAAAATTACGGCGAAGAAAACAAAGAATTGAATAATAAATTATACATTATAGAACAAAATAATAAATTATATATTATATAAATTACATTTATAATATATGTATCAGAAGATAATTATTTGTTTTGAAAATCAAGAACGCGTTAAAATGTGAATGTCGAAATTACAGTTGGATCTTTGTTACACATTTGATCACTTCTCATGCGTTGAAATTAAATTTACCGTTTACAATGAAATACATACACAACAGAATGAATCCATACAACACGCACTCAAAACTTCGTCCCTGTTTCCCACACTACTATATGTCGAGTGATGCATTCCGAGTGTAAAGTGGACGACGGCTGCGTTTCTCATTAAGCTCAATAAAAACGTGGATGATGGTAGTAACCGGACCATAGAAAAGGATAAATTCCTTCTGGAAAACTAATTAGCATTTTGTTACAACGTGCTTCCATCTGTTTGCAATTTCCTGATTTCTCTTGTTTTATACAATTACATTGCTGATGCCCATTTCCACCCATGCAGATTAATTTTAATCTCGGTTCAATTTGCTCTTCATCTTTTTCTAATTCTAAAAATTAGAAAAAGATGAACAGTAAGTTAAACCGAGATTAAAGTTAATCTGCATTGGTGGGAACAGGCATGAAACAGATACTAAATTTATATCTTATCGTTTGTTGATCGAACTTCAGAGCTGGACGACGATATAATGTATAATTATTTGAGGTGTGAGAATAATTAAAGAAACTTCGTATGAAATGTTTACTCAATTAAATAACTTGGTTACATCGAATCAATTACACAGCATAAAATTTACATGTTTCTCAAATGGTCATTGACTCATAAGATTATACTTCAACATTCGATATTGTCGAAGAAACATCACGCAGGATCAGCTAATATAAGACAGAATTAATTAAGTTTTGGATTTAATCATTATTGTTGACCGCAAGCTATGTTATCGAAGGCCCGCGGTATAAAGGAATATCTTAAAGAATATATATAGAAAATATGCACAAAAGTATTTGATATATTAATAAAATAATAATGGAACTTAGATTATACATTTTACGCGATTATATGGACGATCAAACAGATCGATGTGGAAGGTTCATCGAATGGCGATTATAAAATGCTCAAAATGATTCTGTGTCCATAGTAGGTTTACAATCGTAAACGCAGACATAGTCACATTTTATTCTATTTATACACATTACACACGATGTGACATATAAAATCAATTAAAACAAAGTAAAAGTTTTGATGTGTAAAAAAGACGAATAAATAAAATAAAAATTTGGTGTGTAAAAATGATGAGTAAACAAAAAGTTTGGTATATAAAAAAGATGAATATATAAACAAAGTGTTCCACTCGCTTCAACACCGTTCGACCTTTATCTTTTTCTTCGTTTTTAGTTACACATATCATTTACAGAAATAATCTTGTAAAATATATATATTATTCTGTATATGTTCAATATAATCTATATGTATATATTTAATATATTTTACAATATATAATTTGTATGTATTATATAAATATGTATTACATATTTATACAATAAATAGGCTATATATATTATATAATGTAATATTTTAATATTCATAATCATTTAAATTTAATATGTAGAATCTTATACATACTTTAAGTATGTCTTTAAAAATATATATACATACAAGTATGGAAGAACAAAAAACACAATATAATTTCTCGTACAAGCACTTTGGCATATGTACCACTTAAAATCAGATTAAAAAGGAAAAAAGCAAGACCAATCGCGAGGTCGAGCGCGATCGACGAGCGGTGACATTGACGGCATAGAGGAGCAATTAATGGTATAATGTCTAGAGAACTTGAAAATAGCTTATATATCAAGCATTTGTCGTATTTATGTATAAATCTCTCTAAGTATATACCAGCACCGATGATATAGCGCTGGGGCTAAAATATCTTGTACTATTTACACTAGCGAAACAATTACAATTACAATATTCGCCGCGTATATATATATATATATATGTATATATGTAATATAATATCTATATATAATATCCCTTTGTTTACATCGATCTGAAAGACCATAAAAATAATTTCTTAGATGATAGTCTAGATTACAGAGATGTCCCGATTTTTCAGAAATCGTCGATGTGTGTGCCGAAGGAACGCTCAAATGTATATATGTATATATACATATATATATAATATACACACGTATGTATAAATACGTTTAATATATGCGAATATACATATGTATATATTACGCCTAAACGACAAGGCTATATATATTATATATAGTATATATATATATATATATATAGATTATAGTATATATATATATATATATAAATAAAAATGTGCTTATTGACGCGATCCACGTGCGGCTTCTTCCAGTGCGCGAACTTTAAGCTCGCGCTCACGCTGTTGTCTAAAAAATACCCTTCGTTAGTCCGGGTACTGGTGCTGCCTTAAGTCATAACATTATGCAACAAGTCAGGCAAGCTGTGATAGTGATTTCAAGGGACGAACCTTATGTATTCCTCATGATGAGCCATGATAGAATGTGGAGGGAATCGGTCACGCTCCATCATGAGATGCCGTTGTAGTTGTTCGTGATGCGCTGCCATATCCGCGTAAGGTCTTCCTAGGAGTTCCGCCGGATGAAGCGCTAAGGCAGGATCGCGTGGCATTAAACCGGGACGAGGATAATTAGCGCCGGCCGCAGCTGTGGACGAATATTATGTGTTATTATTAAAAAAAAAAGAAAATAGATGTAAAAGAACATTACTAATTTGTATTATTTAATTGTTGCGCGTACGATATCTATTTTGAAAAAGTACTCGCGCTTAGCGAAAGCGTATTCTCGAAATTTGTAAAGATAGAGAAAATTGCGCGCGCAGAATTTAATAATAAACCCTTAAGCTACATTGCCAAAGTGTTACTAGTCATCTTCAAGCACACGCACATGCACACTCGCGCCTATTCCTCGACAACACTCACTCGCACTTGCACCTGTGACGGTGATAAGCGACTAGCCAGAGATCAGAGTCGAGCAACTGGAAAATCGCAGGCGTGCTGACGATTAACGGTACGGGAAAAAAGAATCGTCTTGACCTAGACCTAAGCAAGTATAGGTAACGTAGGACGATCAATGAGAAATACACGGGCTGCCGAACGACGAGGAATAAGCAAGAGCGGCGTTTTCTTAAAGGAGAAGCTCTTCAGGAAGCTTTAGAAGAAACATCCTGGTTGTGTTAGGACCTACCCGGCAGAGGAAATCCAGCCGCAGCCGCAGCGGCTTCCTGCTGTTGCTGAGCCTGTTGCTGGGCCTGTTGCTGTCCCGGATGTAAGTGCAAGTGCGTATGCGCATGCGTATGCGCGTGAGTGTGAGCATGATATTCGGGCGAGATGCCAGCCATTTGCAATCGGACCATCGGGTCAGCGGCCAGAGCCAGCCGTTCTTCCAGCTGGCCGTGGTGATGAGCCGCCACGGGATGGCCAGCCGCTCCACCCGCTGGCCCCCCGCCGGCTGCAGTCGGAATCCCTAAACGCGACAGCGCTTCGATCACATAACTCGAAGATCACAGATACGATTCTCATGCCCGATTTCTTCATCTCCAGCTAACTCGGATAAAATTATCTGAGAGAGGAAGGAGCCACTCCTTTCAAATGTATACCGCTAATTGTAACATAGAGAGCCCAAGGTTAGCTATCATGTGGACAGAGTTAACTGGCGCTGAAGAAATCGGCCATTTATTTTTAACAATTAGTCTACCTACGTCGCATCCCTCAAAGCTCTTGGCGCTCTTGATCTAATTATTCTTTCTCCCCGGCCTATCCGATTTTTCTGTTATATCAGCCTTTCGGCTATATTTTTAAGTCAATTCGAATTTTGAAAAGTACAAGTGATACGGTCGAACGAATATTAATCGACGAATCTCTATCTCTACTGCCGAGATATCAAGTATTAGCTTTGTCAACAATTACCTAGCCGTTCGAGTCGTTCTCTCTCGAGTTGACTCGGACCTGGTGGAGCTCCGTAGAGGCCAAATTGGTGTAAGGCTTGAGGCGGTCCAGAAGGGCCCGGTGCTAAACCGGCGGCAGCGTATCGACGATGTATCTCCAGCCAATGGGGATCGACCGGCGGCGCAGGCATTGGTCTGGGTGTGCCCTTGAACAGTTCTTCCTTCAACCGATCGTTTAATTCTCTCTCGCGTAGCTCACGTATCTCGCGTTCTCTTTTCTCACGCTCCAGATGCTCCAATTCTAACCGCTGTGCTGCAGCTTCACGCCCATAAATATAGTGCAACATTGGGTCGGGTGGTGCCGGATGTCTGGCGGGTGAGAAGGCGGCGTGCGGCCTAGCGTACTCGGATAGTTGCCTAAGCGCTGGGGTATCCGCATAGGAACCAGGACGAGCGGCATAGCGGTCATAGGGCGAGACGACAGGTTCGAGAGGACCACGGCTAGGCGGTTTACACTCGGGCTGCTTCTCGGGCGTCGTCATCTTACGTGCTTGCTGTGCCGCAGCGGCGGCGCGATCGCGCTCCTCTCGTTCCCGCTCCGCTTGCTTTCGCGAACGCTCCTCGCGTTTTCGCGCAAGTTTCGAATCTGGTACAGGCTTGAACATCAGGTCAGTACGCGTACACGAATTATTCTCACCGCGATTCCAATGCCTCAGGAAAATCGCAGATTGCGATCGGTGGCACTCGGAATCCTCAATACGCGGCTCCGGCGATGGTCCACGTGGACTAATGGGCTCCTCTGGTTCCGGATCTAGGTCTTGCTCGATCTTTGGCTCTGCAACAACCTGTGGTTGCTGCGATTGTGGTGCACGATGATGATGATGTGCTGAACTGGATGACGTCAGGCACGTAGCTGAGACGAGGGACGATTTGCGTTGATTACTGTGTGAACTATGTGACGAGGAATGGCTGTGAGAGCTGTGAGAAGAGATAGTCAGCAGCTTGTCGTGGTGCAAATTGGTTGGTTGCTGATGCATGCTCGATGAATGGTGATGACTCGCAATCAGGTTCTCGCCTTCTTCTCTGCTCGCAACGCTCGAGCTCGTGCTGGCATGATGCGCCGTCATCATGGTGCTGCTTTCTTGGCTACGCTGCGGCGAAGGTGGTGGAATGGCATGAGGTACAGGACCATAGGGATATGGTGTAAAGGACGGGTATCCTCCTACTGGCGCATATCCTGGGTAGGCGTGAGGATGATACGGATGCATGGCGGTGAATAGCGAATGATGCATCAACGGATGATGCGGATGGAAGGGATGTGCCATGTGCGGGCTTGGCTGCTGCGCAGGATGCAT